TGCCTGTATCTCTGCCTCTCTCCCTGTGCCTCTCATGAATAAATAAAATCTTCAAAAATAAATAATAAATTCTATTTTTTAATAAAAATTGTATATATCTAAGGTGTGCAACATGATGATTTGATAGACACATGCACAGTGAAATGATCCTGTAGTCAATATCATCATCATCAATAGTCATATCATCTCACATGGTTACTGTCTTTTTGGTGAGGAGAGTACCAGAAATCTACTCTCTCAGCAAATTTATTTGTATATTTTATATATTGATGTATATTTTGTACTCATACTCATCATATTCACGATACTCATGAGTATGCCATATTCCTCATGCTGTACCATAATCAGGAGACTCCTGAGGCCAAGGGGAGCCCTTTGAAGTCTGTGCCCTCCAGGTCTTCAGCTTGGGGAACGGTCATAGGCTCGCTCAAAGCCCTCTCCTCCTGTGTCTGTGGGCAGGCAGATTAACTGGGAGAGCCTGGCCATGGAGAAGGGGGTTGGCACAGCAGGCTCCAGAGCTCAGGGGCTATGGCTGCAGTTCCCAGAGCCCAGCCCCTCTTCTCCAGCCAAGCAGAAAGAAATCTTTGCACCAGGCCCAACGAAGAGCATTAGATCGATCAAGGACATCTGAACCAGCCACCAAGTACACACTCAAGGGTCTCCTGCTTCCTCCTCCCTGTCTCCATTCACCCTCCAGCAGGAGCAGGCTAAGGCACCTGCACATGGAAAGAAGCCAATTCGCTCATACGGCAAATCCTAATGGAGCATCTTCTATCCGCCAGGCTCTGCAAAGTACCAGGGGAGACATCACAGCTTTCTTGGAGCTTATCCTTGGGGAGGTGGGTGGGGGTGAGGGAAAGAGTTAAATAAGTAACCAAATAAATAAGGATGATTTTGAAAAAAAAAAATGCTCTCTAGACTCATCCATCTCACATTACTGTAATTTAAACTTCCATAAAGAGCCAGATAGCAAGTATTTTAGGCTTTGCAGGCCACATGGACTCGGTCACAACTACTCAACTCTGCCAAAGACTGTAGGAATGGGCCTGGCTGAGTTCCAATACAACTTTATTTACAAAAACAAGCAGCGAGCTGGATTTGGTCTATGGGCCATAGTTTGCCAACCCTTGCTTTAGACCCCAAGTTTACTGACCAGAAAGCACTTAACAAATACAATCTCTGCTGTCATTTGGAGGTTGTGGAAGTCTCTTCGTAACATAGTGTATAGATTTTTCTGTCTTCCTAAAGCCTTTATTCATTGTGTGAAGGCATGACCCACCCTCCTGCCCCCATACACACATCCACACACACACTGTGCTCATGGTGGTCTGGGGATTCAGTGATGATTGTCCCCCCACCTTCTCTGCTATCATCTATCATCTATCTTTTATCATCTATTTATTATCTATCATCTATCTATCTATCATCTATCTATCTATCATCTATCACCTCTTTTAGTTTCTTAGCTTTTAAAAAATTGTTTATTTATCAACAAAACAAAGTCCCCTGCCCCCTTACCATCATTATAAAAGGGACAGTAAGAGGCTGGTTCATTTCATGGCTTTCCCTTCAGGCACCCACTGCAGTACCCATTATGTAAGTACATACTGATTATGTAAACCCATAAGCCTCAGTTTCCTTATCTGCTAAATGGGAACAAATCAATGCTGGCCTCATAAAAGTGCTTAGAGCAGTGCTTGACATGATAAGCACTTAATACACGTTAGCTACCATTAGATCACTATGCAACTTTCGAAAATACTAGAGGGGAAGGTATGTGGTTGAGTGGTAAAACCACCTCCCAATGGATAACTCCTGCCAGCCTTGATGGTAATGCCGTCGTTTTTTTCCCTAGACATTTAATTTTTAGTTTTTACATAGCAGTGATCATTCCTGAGCTTTTTTTTTTTTTTTAGATTTTACTTTTTATGTTTTTAAGAATTTATTTATTTGAGAAAGAGAGAGAGAAAGAGAGCACGAGCAGTGGGGAAAGGCAGAGGGAGAGGGAGAAGCCGACTACCCACAGAGCTGGGAGCCTGATGTGGGGCTCGATCCCAGGGCCCTGAGACCATGACCTGACCTGAAGGCAGAGCTTAACCATCTGAGCCATCCAGGCACCCCTTTATTTTTTAAAAAAGATTATTTATTTGAGAGATCTCGTGTGCGTGCCCTGGCATGGGGGAGGGGCAGGGGGAGAGAATCTTCGAGCTGACTCCCCCCTGAGCATGGAGCCTGATGCAGGGCTAGATCTCACCACCTCAGGAGCATGACCTGAGCTGAAATCAAGAGTCGGACACCTAACCGAATGCGCCACCCAGGTTCCCCTAAGACTTTATTTTTTTAAGTAACCTCTACATCCAACACAGGGCTCAAACTCACAACCCTGAGATCAAGAGTCCCATGCTCCACCACCTGAGCCAGCCGGGTGCTCCAATCCCTGAGTTATTTTCACTGGTCTTTTTGAATATAAGAAAGAGCATGTAGCCCACTGGCAGTGGAAGATTGGCCATCCAGAAGGGAAAGGAGTCCTTTCTTCCCCTGCTGTGATTCCCAGCATTCCAGAAGGGAAATATCAGTGCACCAAACAGCTGTTCCCAGTGCCCCGAGACTCAGCATGTCTGGGCTGGGCTGGCAAAGGTCACAGTTTCTGTCAACTCTCGAGAGTGGAGAGACAAGAGACAAGAGCCTCAAGGATTGGCTGTGGGAAAACAGACTTCGCTTTCAGAGGTAATCCCATCGCTACCATCCTACATCCTCCCTTTGAACTTGGGTCCTCACGTCCCAAGAGGGTGTGTGCAGATGGCCCATGAATCTCCTTTCCCATCTTCTGGCTGAGGAAGAGGAGGAGGATGCTAACGAAAACATTAGCCCATAACAGGGCACCTTGGACCCAAGTTTCTATAGAAACCAAGTCATTCCTTCACCTTCGACACATTTCCCTCGTCTCCTGGCAGACTCTCTCCTTGGAGATATGGACGGCTCTGACATCCATCCTACAACTGTCTCCTCAGGTCAAGCAGCAAACATCACCTGACATGTGCCTCATAGGAATAGCCAGCAAATACCGCATGGGTGCGGGCATCATCCAGGATAATCCTCATATTAACCATATGGAGTAAGAAGAGTCCCCCTATTTTCAGACAGGATAGTCCAGCAAGCGTAGTTGGTCACACCAGCTCTGCATTCGTCTCCAGGCCTGCTGAAGCAAAGTGCCACAGACGGGGTGGCTTAAACACCAGGAATCCATGGTCTCACAGTTCTGGAGGCCCAGAAGTCCAAAAGCAAGGTATCTGCAGGGTTGGTTCCTTCTGAGGGCTGTGAGGGCCGGATCTGCCCAGGCCTCTCCCACTGTCTAGTAGGCGGTCATCTTCTCCTGTGTCTCTGCCCATCATCTTCCTTCTGTGCGTATCTGTCTCTGGGTCCTAATCTCTGCCCCTGCCTCTTTTTTTAAAAAAAAAATATATATATATTTTTTTAAAGGAGGCAGAGGGAGAAGCAGTCTTCCTGTGAAGCAGGAGCCCTATGTGGCACTCAATCCCAGGACCTTGGGGCCATGACCTGAGCCAAAGGCAGACATGTAGCCACTTAGCCACCCAGACGCACCAGTACCCCCCCTTTTTTTTTTAATAAGGACACCAGTTATACTGGATTAGGGCCCAGTCAACGGCTTCACTTCAACTTGACTACCTCTGTGAATACTCTGTCTCCAAAAAGGTCACACTCTGAGGGCCTGGGGGTCAGGACACCATGTTTTTGAGGAGGCCACAATTCAGCCCATAACAGCCTCTAGAGTCAGACAGGCCTGAACTGGTATTCTACTATCACTTACTGGCCACTTCATCTCATTAAACCCTGGCTTCCTCTTTTGTAAAAGGGGAGTCATGACATCTCCAGTGTGGGTTTCCGCATGAGGACGACATGTTTGGCACTTCACATTGTGCTCAGCCCTCTTGTTATTACTGATGAGGGAGGCCGATGCTGGGGATGCTCCACCTCAGAGTGAGCTCTCAGGCCATCTGATCTTCCTTGTGGCTGCTGCAGGCTGGCTGGGCATGCAGCCCAATAGGACAGTCCTCGTGTGCCAAACATTTCACATCTCCAGGGGTGGACCTCAGATCCTGAGGAATAGGCGTTCGGAGCTAAATACCCCAGGTTCCCCATTATGATCACTTTTTTAAAAAAGAATTTATTTATTTATTTATTTATTTATTTATTTATTTATTTAAGACACAGAAAGAGGCAGAGACATAGGCAGAGGGAGAAGTAGGCTCCCTGTGGGGAGCCCGATGCGGGACTTGATCTCAGGACCCCCGGATCATGATCTGAGCCGAAGGCAGACGCTCAATCACTGAGCCACCCAGGTGCCCTTATCATAATCATTCTCAAGTGTATCCTACGGGGTCCCCAGTGTGCCTAAGCCCCAGTGACCCACAGTTCGAGTCAATGGAGCTTTCATCTGCTTTTCTCCTTCCTCTTTTTCTTCCATTTATGCTTCCTGGAGTCACCTCCCCAGTAAACAAGCTGCACCCAAGTCCTAGCCTCAGGGTCTGCTAGGTAGGGACCCTAACCAAGGTACTGAGAAGACTGTACCTCAGCGAAGTTATAAGGCTTGTGCAAGGATACATGGTTAGGGAGAGGTGAGCCCACAATTTGAACCACGGCTTCTTTGGCTCGAAAGCCCATGGGCCCAATCGCTGCTATTCCCTCATCTCTAGTGCCAAACGCCTGCTACGCTCTCATCTTCCTCATTCTGTTTGTTCTCTCATTCTTTTATCCTCTTCTGTACAACCATGATAAGTCATTTTAAGAAAAGGGAAATGTCTTCTCTTTTTTTTTCTCCTGAGAAACTTCACTGAATCTAGTCCTCCCGCCTTCCGCCTTGATCTCTATGCCCTATCAGTGCTCTGAGTCATTGGGATGGTTTGTTACACAGCAGTAGTGACTGAAACAACTCACACTCTTCGTGCCCCGTGTTCATGAAGAAAAAGAGAACTCAAATGCATGGCACAAATAAATAATCTTTAATTTCAATAAATAGCTCCCCATTATGCCAGACAATAGGCTGTGGGAATGATACAGAAGCATCCAACAGGGAGAGATCTATTCTAACTACACTAATTCCTTAGCATGAGAAAAATGACTTTGGGTCACACACAAACACAGAGATGCTCAGAGTATGACAAAGGAAGGAGTCATCTTGGATGGGAGTGTGGTGGCCATTTTAATCCATGTAGCTGTCCTTTGCAGGTCTTCTGGGTGCCACAATCACCACGAATCGGTCAAATAAGGTTACTTTTGCTCTATCATATTCTATTTACTTGACATACACACATGCTGTTACTGAAGGTGGGGTCTTGACAGACAGGAGGACACTGGGTGAGATTTTGCTGGGAGAGGCAGAGAGAAGGGAGGGCTGAGGACTGAGGTCCCGCCAAGCGCCTTGCTCACCAGGAGGACACCCAGGGACACACACGTGTTCACCTGGGAGGGCACACACATGAGAACATTCACATACATACCCACAGGGGGTCCTTAGGAGTAGGCTAACATGAGGACAAGTTCAGTTAAGCCAGGGAAATTTCTTACACCAGCATATTTTTGGATGCCACTTGGTTTCTTCAGAGTCTAATCTATCACATCCACTAAAGAGAAGACAAAGTACTTACATTTTTGGGGAAAGGTATCAGGTTTGAAGAACCCCAGGGAACAGCAGCCTGTTCAGAAGCCACCCAGTCAGCAGCTGTGCATTCTGGGTGCGGGGGTCGGGCCTCCCACACACTGGCCAAGCTCTTAGAGAATTTCATCTCAATGGAGGCTGGCACCCTTGGGGAGGCCCTTTCTCTGGCCTGAGGGTTGAAAGTGCATTTGGGGGTAGGGGTATCAACAGGAGCAAACACTGTCAGTAAGTCTCACAGCAGAGTCCACTCTGCTCGTGACATATAGATGGGGTTTCCAGAGAGTTCTCAGGCTTTGCTCATTGAGAGCAACCATTTTGTGTTCAATAGTCAGCTTCCTCTCAGTTCTGAGAGGATTTAGGGTGTGTGTGTGTGTGTGTGTGTGTGTGTGTGTGTGTGTGTGTTTGCGTTGTGGATATAATAGGCATGTGACACATTTTCTGTCTTAAATTTTCTTCCCTTTTTTTTTTTTTTTCCCCCAACAAATGAAAGCTGCTTTTCCTGCAGCCCTCAGGTCACCTCCAGCGAGGCGGGAGACACGCGGTCACACTCAGCCCGGGACCTCAGGCTGTGCCACTGCTCCACGGCGGTGCGGTGAGTGTTGAGCATCCGCCGCCAGTGGTTGGATTCAGAGGGGCCCGAGGAGTACTGGCCGATGACAATTCTTCCGATGAAGTCATTGCTGCTTTTCATGTTGTGGCCAAACACTAGGGAGCCAGAGGGGCGAGGGCAGCAGGGAGGAGGTAAGAAGAAGGAGAGAAACAGAACAGGGAGGCAGGAACAAGACAGAGGTCGTTAGTTTACAAAGTCCTCAACTGCAGGCGTGGGCTCTTTGCTTTTAGGACATAATCTGTTTCTTTTATTTCTTTTATTTTTTTATTTTTTAAATTTTTATTTATTAAAAAAATTTTTTTTCATCTGTTTCTTTTAATGGTAAGAACTCCCACTTCCCCTCATCTCATCCTCCCGCGAGTCCCCTTACTCCAGGTGCACTGGGTGGCCTCCTGTTCCTCACCACGCCAGGCCTGTTCCCGCCGCCTGGCCTTTGCACTGGCTGTTCCTTCTGCCGGAGAGCTGCGTCCTCTACAACATGCAACATTAAGCTCACAGCCATTGCCCTGCCACGCTGTCTACAGGGCCCTGTAGTTGGGTAGTTCTAGGGGGACAGTCAACCATCACTGGAATCTGGTTGAGTAGTTAACCCGGGGGTAACTTGGGGGTTCCCAATTGAGGCACTGCTGACATTCTTTGTTGTGGGCGCCATCCCGTGCACTGCATGATGTTGAGCAGCACCTCACGCCTCCATGCAGTGCATGCCAACAGCACCACCCCCATCAGCTGTCACAATTCAAAATGTCTCCAGACAGAACCCAATGTCCCCTGCAGGGCCAGTTCACACTGGATAAGGGCCGTGGGCCATGGGGCCAGATGTCCTCGGTGACCATTAGGCTAGCTCTGGGAGCCTGAGACAAGGGAAGGCATCTCTCTGAGACTCAGTTTCCTTCCGGGTTAAATAGGACTCTTGACAGCACTTTACCTCATATGTCACTGTGAGGTTTTGGTGAGATACTGTATGTAATGTCTCAGCACACTGTACCTAGAGAAGCCCTCGTTGAAGGTTATATTGCTCTTTTGATCCCAAATTTCTGTCTGTGGACCTTTTATAAAAGAGGCTTTATATCTCCTCTGTTCTGGGCAACGGAGGCAAGCTTCCTGCGAGAAGCAGCCATGGCAATTTCTTCTACCCCTTGGTGTACTGCGTGTCTCTTTGGAAGGCTTCTCTGTTAATTCCAATGCAAAGCTTAATTTGTGTCTTTCAAGCCTAATGAGATGGTTAGCTTGATTTATCTTCCCAGCCAAGTTCTGCCTAATTCTTTATCTGCGTGTGGGTAGTCCGGGCATGCCATCTCGCTAACGGGAAGGCAGGCTGTGTCTGTGTTATAAATGAAGGACTGCAGAATGGGAAATATCACAGATTCACCCAGCAGGAGCAGAGCAAAAGCGGGCTGGATCCCAGGAGGGATGCCGATTATCAAATAAACCAGCTAAAATATGCAGCCAAAAACAGAGCTCGAATGCTAATGAGCCTCTGTTCTCCCCTGTGGGGTTCACATCAAGAATTCTAAATGATAAAAATTGGGGGAGGGGCAGGGAATGAGAAGAAAGAAGGAAAAGTAGAAAAACAAAAACAAAACTCCATCCATTGCCTAAATACCAAAAAAACTCAGGGTGAACAAGGCTAGCCCGTTCCAATTGAGTCCAGTACCACTCAAGGGTCCAGCACTTGTCAGCAATGTGGACAAAAATTGGACCATGTATATTTTTTGTAACTTGCTAAAGGGTTCAGTATGCACAGGGAGACCTTGTGAAGATCCCTTGCTGAAGGGAAAAATTATTTTTTTTTAAGATTTTATCTATTTATTTATGAGAGACACAGAGAGAGAGGCAGAGACACAGGCAGAGGGAGAAGCAGGTTCCATACAGGGAGCCCGACGTGGGACTCGATCCGGGACTCCAGGATCACGCCCTGGGCCGAAGGAAGGAGGTGCTCCACTGCTAAACCACCCAGGCGTCCCTGAAGGGAAAAATTAGGACAGGAATCTTTGCTTAATAAAGGACATTACTAAGGAGTACTTGAAGTTTTTTTTTTTTTTTTTTGAAAAGGTAACACTTAGGAACCACACCCGAACCACGCCTAATAGGCAGTGTAAGGTTTTATCTCACCAAACAAAAGCAAATTACCAGAGTCTCCTTCTCTGTGGGCCTTGATAATGCAAGATACTATCAGGAGGCCATTTCAGGCTTTATTTGGGTTTCTTCCTTGAGGGCAAAATACTCTATCTTCCGCTGCCTCTCCAAAGCTCAAGAATGAAAAAAAAAAAAAAAAAATTCAAGTAAATGACTGTAGGTTTTCCCTGGGAAAAGGTTTTTAAGAAAGGAAATCTCAAACATTCTCAGGTATTGTTGGTGAAAGAGGAAGCTGGTTCAACTTTGGGGAAAGTTTCACAGTATCTACTTGAAATAACTTGTGATCTAGCAATTCTATTTCTAAGAATTTATCCCACAGAATTATCTGCACAAATGGACAAAGATATACATCAAGAATGTTCTCTGGATATTAGATATTGGATAATATCTGGGTATTAGAGCCTGCCAAATCTGGCCTGTTTTTTTTGTAAATAAAGTTTTATTGGAAACTTCTCAAACCCATTTGTTTACACAATGTCTACAGCTGCTATTACACTACAGCAGCAGAGTTGAGTAGCTTTAAGAGAGACTGTGCGGCCCATAAAGCTGAAAGTATTTCCTATCTGGCCCCTTATGGAGAAAAGCTTGCTGACTTCTGCTCTAGAACATTGGGAGAATAAAAAATGTAAATAACAAAAAATGTCCATGAAGAAGTGTATCTGAGGCTGGAGTGCCCTGTTTACTCCCTTAGCCCATCCTAGAGGCTACCCACAGCTCCTGAGCACCCAGAGCCCTCGGCCGGGGCCACACCAGTCTATGCTAACTATGACTTATGGTGGAGTCCTTGGGCCACTCAATAGCAGCTTGACCTCTGCAGGGGCTGGAGACTAGCGTCAGCCACTTGGATGCCTATGGGACTGATCCCCTGATCAATATCCCAGACACCAAGGCTTGTGTGAACTTCCCTGACTGGTTACCCTTCAACTATGTCTCCATACATCCTTCCTGGGACATACAACTCTACTGGGAGAGGGCAACCAGAAATTCGTGTCTGGTCTCTCCTGGACTTTGCCCTCTGCGCTTCTTTCCTTTGCTGATTGTGGTCCATTTCCTTTTTCTGTAATAAACTATAACCATGAGTATAATGGCTTTGGTAAGTCTGTGAGTCCTTCCAGGGAATCACTGACACTGATGGTCTTGGGGACCTTCCAAGCTGCAGTTACTGGATTCATCAAATGTCCCTGACTGGCTTGCTTCCCTTTCTCAGTAAGGGTCATCTCCTTAGTAGCCTACTTGAACCCAAGTCATTGTCTTAGGATCAGCTTTGGGAAGGATCCAGACAGACTGGCAGAGACTAATTAAATCATTTCTGATGTAATAATGCCATGGAAACCAATGTCGCTGTAAAATGAGATAGACCTATATATATGAAATAGAAAAATCTCCAAGACATATTGCTAGGAGACAAAAGCAAGTTGCAAAATAGTATATGTAAACATAATCTCTTTTTGTTTAAAAAAAATGTTAATATATAGAATAGAAAACAATCTGGAGGAATTTCACCAAACTGTTAAGAGTGGCTCTCTCCAGGGAGGGGAAACAGGGAACTTTCTGCTTTCTGTATTATATAAGTATAGTCTGCACTTCTTGTAAGTACATATTGTTTTGGAAAGAAAACAAAAGAAAAAAAAACAAGTTGCCATTAGAGAATCCACATCTAAATCGCCAGAAGGGAAAGAAGACTAAAAGGAAGTCTAATATCCTACGCTCCTTATCCCAATTTGCAAAGTTACTTGGCTTGGTGAATCACTTGGCCCTCGAAAGGTAGGAGCTCCTAAATGATTCAGCCTTTCTGATGGGAAGCAGTCGCTGCTGTGACCATCTGAGTTAATTGGCAGGCTTTGGCACTTGCAAATCACTTGGTAAAGTTATGGCAATCTTGACAGTCTTTTAAAAATCGAACATTTAAAATGCAAATTATAATAAGCCAAAGATGAATAAAACTAATGACTTCTATTATAAAAGTTGCCTCAGAGAATATCAAGATTTGCTATCACTGTAAATTCTAGGGAGTGTGTTGTTGGAGAAACAGGGAATTAGGACTGAATACCTACAGAATCCAGATAGGGGCCAGATACCCCGACTCCTCCATTTTACAGCTAAGGAAATCAAGTCACTGAGCTAGTTGGTGATAAAACTTGAAGTATCTGCAGCAAATATCCTGTGAAGGAAGTCAATTCTTCATAACTAGATCCCTACTTTCTCTCTCTTTAGAAACAATCCCAATCAGAAATTTTGTTGTAAGGCATCCCCAAATATCCCTGCTGGTTGTTATGGGGGACTCATTCTACTGCAGTCCCCAGTATATTACTGGACTATGTGCCCTAGTTATCTGGAAGCAATTTCCCAATGACCTATACAATCTAGAATAGCACAAAGGCATCACAACAGTCAGAATAGATTCAGAGTCCGTGCACAAAACCCATGGAGAGAACTCCCCACATTTTCTCTAAGAACCTATTCACTCTTCATGGATTTAGACATACTCAATAAACTTGGCCATCTGAGTTCCTCATCTGTAGTAATTCATTTTTAAAATTTTTTCAAGATTTTATTTATTTATTTGAGAGAGAGAGAGAGATCATGAGCAGGGGGAGGGGCAGTGGGAGAGGGAGGAGCAGACTCCCCACTGAGCAAGGGAGCCCAATGTGGGGATTCCAGGAGCCTGAGATCATGACCTGAGCCAAAGTCAGATGCTTAACTGATGGAGCCATCCAGGCACCCCCATCTACAGTAATTTAATTTAGCAGATTTTAACTACCAGCAGATACAAGAACTTTATTTTTTTTTTTTAAGATTTTACTTATTTATTTATTTAGGGAGCAAGAGATAGTATGCAAGTGGGTGGATGGGCAGAGGAGAGTGAGACCATTTTAAGCAGATCTACGCTGAGAGCGGAACCTGTCCCAGCTCGATCTCTTGATCCTGAGATCATGACCTGAGCCAAAATCAAGTCAGA